ATAATGGGAAAGGAATAAATTATTAATATATATATATTTATTGTATATAAACATCATATTTGCTTACCTGTAAAGCCGTAAGCTAAATAAATAAAGCCCTCATGATTTATCGCCAAATAACGATTCTCGTTATATACGTCGAGAGCTGTATTTACGGAGATCACCATCTTCTGCATAAGCCATTACAATTGAGTATTCGCTTGTGACTGGGTTTTTAGTCATTCCATAATATTCTATCAAGTTACTGTCATTATAGCATTTAAGGGCAATCTGAATCTATTTTGAAAAAATTTTGTTTGTATCAGAAACAAAAAAGTCCTTTCACTTTAGAAAATGCTCATTTTTACCTCACGTATAAACTCCAGAGTAATTTTCTTTGAATTGTGTAATGATTTCAACACAACCCCATGTTTTTCATTTCGTACAAATTTATTTTCTTCATGATTCCATTTAGCATTTAATAAATCTCTAACCAATGATCCATCCAACCAGATTGCTTTATAAATTGACCCAAAACCTCCTTTTGTAAGATATTCAATGTTGTTAAATCTTTCAAAAGGAATCCATTCGAATAATACATTATTTTTATGACTTTCATTAATTTTGTTACATTCTTTTATTAGAATATCGATATCTTTATTTCCTCTGGACAATTCATTGTTATAAATTCGTATGTGATATTTGAAACATTCGTCACAGTACCAATACCGTCGACAAAGCAAACATTTACTACAATTATGAGTATTGTGAACTAAACACTCATCACAGTATTTATCTACTCGACAATCATTACGTTTACTACAATCAGGTGTATTCGATTCCATTTTCGAGTTCATTATAGAACTTGAAATGATAAGATTTCTTTCCATAACAAAGTTACGGGCTTGTTGTGAAGCATAAGCTCCTAGTTCCTCTATTATTTCTCTATATAGAATTGCTAGTAATTCTTTATGAGGGTCATTTTCGGCAATAACTTCCAAGTCTCGTTGCAATATTTTTTCTCTGACGATTGGCTCTTTGATTCTATGGCTCAAACATTTTGCTCTATAAGCTTTCTTTCCGCAAGTGCTCAAAGTATTTATTAATATCACCCGCGAGGCGTTCCTTATTTTTTTACACATCTCAATATCATTGTTTACTTCATTTAGCGGGGGATTATTGACATAAATGATATCGCGACAGGAATAAAACAAGTTTGCAATATCGTTGTTTTCGTTATTCATATTATTTATGTCGTCGTAAAACAATTTTTTGTCCCGAAAACTAGGAAAATGAGTATGGACCAATGTAGTATACTGACCAACATTTTCATCGAAAATAATTGTTCTTAGCAAATTGTAAAAATCCGTCTCTTCCTGTGTAAGTTTACCATCAGTGACAAAGAAGATTTGATATAGACTATCCATAGCTTGACTAGCACCTTCTGCTATTTTTTTATAAATTTCTTCAGGGAGAAATTTTGTACCTGCGAAACCTGGTGTATCGAGAATATTATATCTGATTCCTTCTATTACGACCTCTTCACTTTGGTTATTACAAGTTTCCTCAACCATAAATTCGTCTTCCAAAAACTTCGTAGTATTAGTGAAAACATTGGCAAGAGTAGATTTTCCCGAACCGGTACGACCAATAAGGAGGATAGTTCTGGCATTCTGAGAAGTTAAGTTTTTTATTTCTAACGTATCATTAACTTCTTTGTCTAATTTGATGTCTATGGCTTGACGTAATGCTTTTTTAAATCCGTCAACGTTAACCGGATTTTTATCAGGACATCTTATATCCTTCGCTATCGGATCATAAATAACTAATCTCACAGCATAACAATAATCATTATTGACTCTGGTTATAGCTACGGCGCAATTATTATCTTTTGGAGTAGAAAAAATAATGATTTTTTCTGTTCTTAAATTAATAAAATGTTCTTTAATTATTTGCCCTAAGTTATTTATTACTTTTTTCTCGTTTATCCTTAAATTTACTTCTTTTTTCTCGTCTTGTTGTTTCAACACATGACCAACATGATTGCATACCGCAAATCTCGAGTCTTTTTTCTCTAACTTCGTTGGTGTGGCTTGTATCAAACACCAAGACAATGTTATACTTTCTTTATCGTTATTATCTAAAAAATCATCATTTGTTGGACCAATTATTTCGAGACTGATGATTCCTTGACTCGACCAGGATGAAATTTCAAAATCAAAATTTGGTTCGACTTTTGAATAAGGATAAATAAATGATGTTGTAAGAATGTAACCTGGACAAAGAGTTTGATTAACTTTTAACTCCGCTTTTCGTTCCTTGACTGGAACCGAGCCAATCAGTATTTCTAAATTACGAACAGATGGATTAGAATATCCAATTTTATAAGGGATTCCAACCATTATCCAAGTTACTATATGCTTTGTGGATCTATAATAAAGAAATTTATTATTCATCGCATATTTAATTTTCAAGAAGACTAACTTACTGTATCTCGCCCACATTTTCGGATGATTCGATTGAAATTTCGAAACCTTCTACATTAAGATATTTAAATTTTGGAACAGCTTTTTTATCACTTTCACAAGTTGTACGACCAAAAATATGGTAGCTAGCTTCATGAAGAGGTTCCGAAAATTTTATCCTTTTGCAATCGTTGACCTGAACTCTTCCAAACATCAGAATATGGCTTTTCGATCCAAGCAAATAATCAAGTTGTTTGCGGATAGGTTCTTCTAGATTATGATATAAGGGTGTAACTTGTCGTTTAAACATTTTCCATTCGGTTTTAAGATCGGAAATTGCAATAAGCCATTTTGCAATGTTTCTAAAAATATCAGATATTTTTTAACCAACAAAATTGGCAAATAAAAAGTTCAAATCTGAAAAGTACCCACTTTATTTTAATTAGATATAAGTTATAATCGCATAAATATGAACTGTCAAATGGTTTTACGGATTCCTCGAATTCATTTAAATATGACTGCAAATCATCTTTAATCAAACGAAGTATACTTGTAATGATTATGATATGTAAGATGAACAAACTCCTAACATCTTAAATTTTTAATTTACCTTTGCTTAAATTCGACTTATTAATTTTATCGCAGAAGTATTTTGAATAGGATTCAAATGATCGATCAAATTTAGCTCCGATTGTAACTTTTGACTCATAGAAGTAACCATATTCTTTAAAGAATGATCTTAATTTTGGATACGGATTGTTATATTCCGTTAGTTTTTGAATTTCTTTTGAATATGATTCACTCAGCTTTATATGATCTTTAGATATATCTATTGTAAAATATATGTAATTGGTTAATTTGCTTTCTTCACCATTAAACCAATATTTCATCGAGCAATTATGAATCAGTCCCGCATTTAAGAATCTTTCGATAGAGTTTGGTTCGATTGCAATATCATTGAATGCAATAAAAGTTTCCTCTTTCAAGTTATGTTGTGATAAGCTATATGTTTTTTGAGTTACTGTATCATTGAATGTCATGTCGGGCAATTCGACGATGTCAAAGGCTTTTTTTTTCGCTTTTTCTATGCCGTAATCTGAGAAAATAAATCCGAATTCTAATTGGAAAAATTCAGTCCAATCTATTTCTTTCTCCTTAGAATTTTCCTGAATATAACTAAAAGAAGTTGCTTTGGATACCATTTTTTTTATGAGAACTGTTCCGATTAATAACAATTAATCTATTAATCTTGCAATTTAACGATGAACCAATACAGTTTCTATATAGCTTTATCTTTGCTTAGTAAACTTTTGGAGTTTTTCTTATGTCGTTAAACATGGCTCACATATAGGGATGGTACGGTTCTATATACCTGTAGAACCGATTGGAACCGGTTCAAACCGGTCGAACCGCTCAAACTGGAACAGGCTCGAACCGGTTCCAGTTCTATGTTAATTTATATAGAATGATTTTAACTGGAACCTAACCGACCCATCCTTACTAACATGTACCACGTACAAAAAAACCAAACTTGGGAAAAAGACAATGAAAAACGCGCATGTACATTTAAAGCCAATCGTGTAACATAGCTATATTGATGATTTCTCTGAAATTTAAAATGCATGACATTATTTCTAATGGAGTCTAATTTAAGCTATTTCTTCTATTTCAGACGCAGGAATCAAGGATATTCTGTGAAAATAAATGATGATGAGTCTATTGGGCATCTCTCATCGACAAACTTGTCGACATTAGAAAGTACCTATGCAATGTATACCCGAAATTGAAATGGGCACCAACACGTTTTATCAGTAATTTTGGACGAATAATTCTGTCTGATGAAATTAAAAAAAAATTGAGATTTGTTAGCGAAATTAAACAATCCCTGATTAAATTGATTGGAACTCTATTATTTTTGATAAAATTAAAAAATTAACAGAATTGAGCTTCTCGCCTCTCATATATCTTTACTTTTTCAAAAATAAAGCTACTACATGTATTACTATCGCTATGATGTAAATTTTTTAATTTGTTTAGCGTTAGCAACTCATTCATTTATCTTATCTTTATTATAAAACAACCAAATAAGAATTATAATATATGCTATAACAATAAAAATTAATTGAATTTAAAGGTACATTCACTAATTTCAACCACAATACCGATACATACATTGTATTATAAAACATATCGAAGTGTACATTGATTATTTTCGTGGTTCGAAATTTTTTTGAATAAATACTAGCCAGTAACTCATAAGTAAATTGCTAGTTCTACCAATTTACACAAATTATAATTTGATTTTTTTGTACATATTATAAAACAACGATGTGATGACAAACACTAGAAATGCAATGCTAGAAGACCAAAAAGACCAATATAAAATACCAGGTGGCGGCATTCCAAACAAATACGAGATGACATGTTTTATCTGTTGAAGACAACTATGATATAGATGGTTTTTGTGTTGATATTATGATTTTTATGTTTCCTCTGCTAGTTGCAAGTTTAGCATTGGAGTGTCATACGATTAGATTTTGATGATATTAAAACTTGGATAGCATCATCGTTATTTAAAAGTTCATTAGACAACAAATTTTGCTGTGGTAGAATAAATTAGTGCTAAATTTAGATTGATGTTGTATATAAATTGATTGGTTTTATCCCTTAATTAATCACGTGATCAACACTCATGTAGCCATTTAGATTTATATTTAAATTTGCATCTGCTACTAGAATAGTTGTAGGTGACAACTCATTTATTTAGGTCAGACATTTGTTCTGGATCTTTTTGTTATATATGTGCATGTAATTGTCTATAAACTAAAACTTTTTGTTATCAAGAATATCTTTTAAAATTTCCACAAATTTCCATACTTCATAGAAAGTATTGTACAATGGTACAGGTGCAATTCTAATACAATTAGGTTTCCGTTCATCGACAACAACACCGCGCTCCATCAACCCATTAAATATACTCTCGAACTGTTCTTCATGAATCAAAAGAACTGAGAGTTGGGCTCCGCGTCGACGTGGGTCATGTGGAGTTATTATTTTGTAGTCGTTTTGGTAGTGCGGGTTTAGTTTTCTGGTGATTAGAAATTCTAGGTATCCAGTGAGCAGAAAAGATTTAGCTCGAAGTGTAAGCATGTTGGTTTTTGCGAATATTTGGAGACTGCCTAGTAGTGATACCGTATTCAAGACGGATGGATTAGATAGCTGGTAACCTGCCGCTCCTTGGATTGGTTTGAATTCTAAATAAAAAAACATGGCTAAATTGATTTTCATCTTTGGTTGAGAATTTAAAAAATAATACTGTCATCTTACCCTTGTTCATATCGAAACGGGTTTTTTTATCGTGTCCCCACCACCCAGCAAATCTAAATTTATTTTACAATTTAATTTGAATTTCCTGTGAATACACTTAAAAGAATTCAAATTACCTTGGCCGATTATTATCATTTGCATGCTTATCATGAACAAAAATTCCCGCAATGCTACCAGGACCAGAATTAAGATATTTGTAAGAACACCAAACTGCAAAATCTACATTCCAATCATGTAAGCTTAAAACAACGTTGCCGATAGCATGTGCAAGATCAAATCCTACAACGCAACCCTATGAAATTTTTTCAGTACTTATTTTAGCATAAAATGTAATACAGTTCTATGGAGATAAATATATGATAAACCTTTTCATGCGCAACTCTACTAATCTTTTCTAGATCAAAGTATTGTCCATTGTAGTAATGAACGGCACTCAATAACACAACTGCAATCTTTTCCCCTTCTTTTTCTATTTGTTCTATAATGTCTGTGTCCTTGATTGTGTATTCGTCTGGGCGTGGTTTAACAGTGATTAATGCTTCGGCAGGATCATAACCGTGGAATTTCAATTGTGATTCTATAGCATACTTTGTATATAGGAAATATAGAATTTAACATACAATGTTAATAAAAAGATTGAATACGCAAATAACTTACTTGATCAGATGGAAAAACTTTATCCTCAATTAAAATCTTGTATCGTTCCGAATTGGGTGTATAAAAAGAAACCATGAGAAGATGAAGATTTGTGGTAAGTGTGTTCATTATTGCTACTTCAGTTGGCGTTGCTCCTGAATTATTAAATTTGAGCTTGATCAGTTTTCTTTATGCTGCATTTCCAAGATAGTGAAATTATTACCTATGAGATTGGCGGTTAGTGAAGTTACCGTCTCATCAATAGTTAACCATGGGCGATTAAATTTGTGTTGAAAATGACCAAAGACCCCACTTTTAATTCATACAAAGGATTCATTTAGATGATGATTAAAAAAATGAATCACGAATATAATGAATGAATAGCAAACAAATACGTTTTAGACCAAACTTCAAACTCTTCATCAACCAATTGTTTACTTCGTCTCGGTAATAATCCAAGTGAATTGCCACATAAATATATACATTCTTCGTTAGGATCAATATTATTACCTAAAATGGCAACTTAATTAGATTTATCGTTATTTTGAATTATTTGTCGTTATTTAAATAAATTGAAGGTCACCATCAATTTTATCCTTCGACACGACATCACAAATTTTCGGAATAACAAATTCCTCGCGTAAACCTTTTAATTCGTCGAAATTATCAAGGTATCTTGCGAATTCTATAGATAACAGATCATCAACTTTAATAAATTCGTTATTGGCTAATTTCAATATGATATCACTGGCATCATCAAATTCATGTAAGTTGGGTGTAATCTCTCTGAAGAATTGTGATAAAGACATTTTTCCAGAGACAATAATAATCAAGAACGGTAATAATAGCGGAAACTAGCCCCTTTCGTAACGTTAACGGTAATTGATATGTATTAGGATTAGTTCATGTGTAACAAAAATAACGACATTTCCAATGTGTTTATTTGAAAGTAACACAAAATTCATCCGAAGGTACATGTATTACATGTATTATCAAACATTAACGTTAACCCCACAGAATACGTAAATGTTATTAAACGAGAATGAGACAAATAATTTCAAAACAGTCAGAACAAATAATAAAGAAGAGTCAAATTTAAATGATGATAATTCTTTTTCAATGTCAATATACAACGACATAAGAATTTCATTTGTTGATAACAAACCAGATGAAACCAAGCATTCGATGATTAATGAATCAATTTCAACAAATATTAATAGCACTAAAAAAAATAATCAAGTTTCATTTGTTGATAACAAACCAGATGAAACCAAGCATTCAATGATTAATGAATCAATTTCAACAAATATTAATAGTACTAAAAAAAATAATCAAGTTTCATTTGCCGAACAGACTATTGAATTATTCAGCGATGCTTTATCTCGTGCTGAATATTTTGATAAAATGATCAAAATAATCAAAGAAAATTTAACAGAACATCATCAAAGTCCCATGAAATTCTTTAACGATCTTTTATCAAGCGACAATAATGATGATCGAGACGAATTTCATTGCTTGCTCGGTTTCTGTTATGAGCATGGAATCGGAACAACCGTAAATTTCGAGAAAGCTTTCAACTCATACTTGAACGGAACTAAATCGAATGGAATCTACAGCCAGAATTTATTGGCACATTGTTATCGAGATGGAATTGGCACTGTGAAAAATGATCATGCCGCGCGTGATTACTATAGAATTTCAGCAGAAAATGGGTGTACTGCCGCGCAGTATAATTTCGCAAAATGCTATGAAAAAGGTGTTGGTGTGAAAAAAGATGACGCTATTGCATTTTACTGGTATCTACAGTCGTCAAGAGGTGGCGATGTAGACGCACAAGCGACTTTGGCATATTATTATCAAAAAGGAATTGGTACCGAAGTGAATAACGAACACTCTTATTTCTGGTATAAACAAGCTGCAGAAGCTGGAGATGCATATGCTCAGTGTGGATTCGGTCATTGTTATCGAAAGTCAATTGGCACACAGCGAGATGACAAGGAGGCCTTTTATTGGTTCAAGAAATCTGCATTGGGCGGATATTCGAGAGGCCAAAATAATTTGGTGAGTTTCGATGGAAGGTTGCTGAGATACGATTCCTAATATTTTTAAAGTTAAAGTATACATGTATTTGTTAACTCGACAAAAAGGCATATTGTTATGAAAATGGAATTGGGACAATGGCAAAGCCGAAATCCGCCTTTTATTGGTACGAGAAATCAGCACTCGCACACGATCCACAAGGTAAATGATTATTATTTGATCATGCGAACTGACGAATCTATTTTTGCTTAATATTTATGAACTATTTTACTAAAAGGTGAATACTATTTGGGATACTGTTATCACCATGGAGTCGGTACCAAAAAAGACATACAAAAAGCATTATACTGGTACCGTCTGTCAGCCAAAGACGGAGACCCTTATGCACAATGCAGATTAGGCATATTCTATGATTGGGGAAAAACAGGTATACAGGTTGATGTCCATGCCGCAATCTATTGGTATAGGAAGGCATTTAACAATAATCATACTAATGCAGGACGCAGACTTAATAATTTATTTCAGATTAATGGAAATTCTAGCTAGAAATATAAATACTAGATTAACCCAATTTTATTATGTATTTGTTGATATATATTATTACCGTAATCTTTTTTTATTTTTCATTTTACGATTCATGGTTCTTGTTAATTATTTCTAATCCAAATTATAGAAATTTAACTGAAAATAATTATTAAGAATTTATATTTTTATTATATTCAAATCTGTGAATTTTTAAAGATATTTACTTTCTTTATGATATATTTCAAGTTTTTCAGAGATTTCCAGATGATATCATAAAGAGGATAACTGAGTTATTTTAACAAGATATTGAAGTTTGTAATAATGCATTCTTTTATTAAGAATATAATCAACTTCATATTCTTCTTCATTATTTGAGATAATAGTAATAAGTGATAATATGTATCTATTAAATTCATCATCTGAATTATATTTCTTCAATAATGAAATATAAAATACCAGATGTAATTTTATATTAGCTAATAATTATAGTTTATAAGTAACAGAAGAGATTTTATTAATAATCTCAAAGGATTTACTAAATTTTAATGTAAGTTTCTTGATTATTTTTTATTATTAATTAGATTATCAATATTGTAAGTAGAAAAAAAAACTTGATTTTTAATAGTAAATTCTTTATATTTTTCATATTAATTAATATATTTGCTTTATCTATCTTATATTTTAAGTAGTAAATCTTTAGTAATCTTTATCATGATATTCTAATACTTTATGAATTCTTGAAAAACTATAATATTAATATTTAGTAAAAGAATAATGATTAAGATATGAAATATTTTGTTTATAATTTAATTTAAATAGTAAGTATCTAGTAAAAATATTTTTATTATTATAGATAAATTTAGCATTACTAGATTTTATTTAGTCTTATTTATATATAATATAAATTCTAAGTATTTTTCAAGAGTTTTATTAAGTTTTTCTGTCTAATTATCTAATTATAAATGAAAGATTATTAATATTATCAGTTTAATTTCAAGTTATTCAAATAATAACTTTTAAAATTTACTAATTAACTTAGTATTTCTATCTGAAGTTATTATTAAAAATAAGTTATATAATTTAAATATATTCTTAAATAATATTTTTATAATATCAGATACTAGATTTAAAATCTTCTATAAAATATATAACTTAATTTAGATTACTTATATCTATAATTTATTTAACTATATTTTTGAATTTGATATTATAATTTTATATAGATCCAGTTTGATAAAAAAGATATATATAAAATTATTTATTCATTTATTTATAATTATAAATAAAATAAAATATAATATGAATAATTTTAATTTATAAATACTTATAATTTTATTATTTGAATAATATTCAGATTTAAGATAAATTATAAAATAGAAATAACTTATTATATATAAAATAAAATAAATATAAATTTGAATAAATTATAATTTTAATATAAATATATATAATTAAATATAATTAATTAACTTAATTTATATCTTTAAAGAGTAATAAATTATAATAAATAAATTAATAATAATTATAAATAATATAAATAAGAATAAATAAGAATAATAAATAATATAAATAATATAGTCAGTATAAAAATAATGATAAATATATTTTTTATCTATAACTTAATAAGAAATTGTCTAAAAATTTGATATTATATTCTTTAAAATAAAATTTTCTAAGATTATAAAGTATATTAACATAGTAATATTTCATGTAATTACATACTAATATTACAAACTATACTCTAGAAGGTAGGTTTTACCATGAATATAGTTTATAATAAATTTTAAGGGTAGAGACTGAATTATTTATAAAGGTAAAGGGGATTACAATTATTCTAAAGGTTTTCTAGTGCCAATACTTATGAGTATTG